CAAGCAATCCTTGTCGGTAAAAATTTCGTTCCAAGTCAGCACACCCTTCCGAGTTCGTGTGACGTGCCTTGGTTTAAAAATTCGAGAACATTTGTTAAGTTATTGACACAATTTTCGCACTTTTTAACGCCAAAATATTGCCCATATTCGTTTCAAATACATCCCCAAGTCTTCTGCTGTATCCGTTGTCTACAAAATCCCAGCTGAAGTTGTTATATCACTTGTATCCAAAGACAAAAGTTCGGGAATACAAAAATCACGAAGGCGACAAATGGCCGCGCAGTTGGTAGAAAATATCGGGCTAAAAAATGTAAAATAAATGGCCACAACGAGCTGAAAAATACATAGATTCATAGCTAGAAACTTACCTCGACGAAGGAAGGTCGATTGAAGATGAGAGACTCAGTACTGGCTAAATATTTTAAGATTCTTTTCAGTTCGCCCGTTCGGAAGAGTAAACCACACCTTCGAATCGAGCCGTAGAGGCTTATTAAAATGCGGCGGAAGTGAAGGCCGCATCACATGACCAACGATCGCCCTTTGGGCGTGATCTGATTGGCCCAGACGAGACAAATCTTTCTTAAGCTATAAGCCAGGAATTTGTAATGATTTTGACTGGTGTGCGTTATAAAGTGCGGCATTTGTCACACCGTTTCCGATTTAGAGATTTCTAGCTTAAAAACAACACTGAAATACTTTCAGAGGGCATTTTTTCTTCTTTTTGTGTGGTCGCAGTAATATTTTGAAACAAATATCGCCCACGTTGACAACAAGAGATTGGTCAGCGTTCTTACATTGTTTCTAAAAATAGACGCGGTGTGACGCACTATAAAAGGAGACTCCGCCTCAGTCGGTTTTCTCACTCGTGCCAAGCAGTCGCCTAAGAAAGGTGTCATAAATAGCAATCCAAAGTCTCATTTGCATATGAATTTTTGCCCCAACATTTTTCATTTCAAAGTAATGCATTGCCCTAATTTTTTTAATTTTTTTATATCAAGAATAAGCAATAATAATATAATAGATAGTAGCTTAACCAAAATTAGTACTATATGAGGAAATATTTAAAACTGAAACATGTAAATCCTTTCATGTCTTTCATGGCAGCCAGTAGTCTTATTATTCATTCAATTCAAACAAAAACTGCTTTTTGATGTTACTCTGAGTGTACATCCACACCGGGCAGGCTAAAAAGTTAGCCTGACCACGGTGGGAATCGAACCCACGACTTTTGGGATACTAGTCCAATGCTCTTCCAACTGAGCATTGTCAAGGCCAAGTCCCATAGGCGTACCGGGCGGGGGGGGGGGGGGGGGGGGGGGGG